CCCATCATCTACCTCAGTGTCAGTCCCATCATCTACCTCAGTGTCAACCCCATCATCTACCTCAGTGTCAGCCCCATCATCTACCTCAGTGTCAGCTTTATCATCTACCTCAGTGTCAGCTTTATCATCTACCTCAGTGTCAGCTTTATCATCTACCTCAGTGTCAGCCCCGTCATCTACCTCAGTGTCAGCCCCATCATCTACCTCAGTGTCAGTCCCATCATCTACCTCAGTGTCAGCCCCATCATCTACCTCAGTGTCAGCCCCATCATCTACCTCAGTGTCAGCCCCATCATCTACCTCAGTGTCAGCCCCATCATCTACCTCAGTGTCAGCTGCATCATCTACCTCAGTGTCAGCTGCATCATCTACCTCAGTGTCAGCCCCATCATCTACCTCAGTGTCAGCCCCATCATCTACCTCAGTGTCAGTCCCATCATCTACCTCAGTGTCAGCCCCATCATTTACCTCAGTGTCAGCCCCATCATCTACCTCAATGTCAGTCCCATCATCTACCTCAGTGTCAGCCCCATCATCTACCTCAGTGTCAGCCCCATAATCTACCTCAGTGTCAGTCCCATCATCTACCTCAGTGTCAGCCCCATCATCTACCTCAGTGTCAGCCCCATCATCTACCTCAGTGTCAGCTTTATCATCTACCTCAGTGTCAGCTTTATCATCTACCTCAGTGTCAGCCCCATCATCTACCTCAGTGTCAGCCCCGTCATCTACCTCAGTGTCAGCCCCATCATCTACCTCAGTGTCAGTCCCATCATCTACCTCAGTGTCAGCCCCATCATCTACCTCAGTGTCAGCCCCATCATCTACCTCAGTGTCAGCCCCATCATCTACCTCAGTGTCAGCCCCATCATCTACCTCAGTGTCAGCTGCATCATCTACCTCAGTGTCAGCCCCATCATCTACCTCAGTGTCAGCCCCATCATCTACCTCAGTGTCAGTCCCATCATCTACCTCAGTGTCAGCCCCATCATTTACCTCAGTGTCAGCCCATCATCTACCTCAGTGTCAGTCCCATCATCTACCTCAGTGTCAGCCCCATCATCTACCTCAGTGTCAGCCCCATAATCTACCTCAGTGTCAGCCCCATCATCTACCTCAGTGTCAGTCCCATCATCTACCTCAGTGTCAGCCCCATCATCTACCTCAGTGTCAGCCCCATCATCTACCTCAGTGTCAGCCCCATCATCTACCTCAGTGTCAGCTTTATCATCTACCTCAGTGTCAGCCCCATCATCTACCTCAGTGTCAGCCCCGTCATCTACCTCAGTGTCAGCCCCATCATCTACCTCAGTGTCAGTCCCATCATCTACCTCAGTGTCAGCCCCATCATCTACCTCAGTGTCAGCCCCATCATCTACCTCAGTGTCAGCCCCATCATCTACCTCAGTGTCAGCCCCATCATCTACCTCAGTGTCAGCTGCATCATCTACCTCAGTATCAGCACAAACATCTACCCCAGTATCAGCACAAACATCTACCTCAGTATCAGCACAAACATCTACCTCAGTATCAGCCCCATCATCTGCCTCAGTGTCAGCCCCATCATCTACCTCAGTGTCAGCCCCATCATCTACCTCAGTGTCAGACCCATCATCTACCTCAGTGTCAGCACAAACATCTACCTCAGTATCAGCACAAACATCTACCTCAGTATCAGCACAAACATCTACCTCAGTATCAGCCCCATCATCTACCTCAGTATCAGCACAAAAATCTACCTCAATACCATCTCCAGTCCCAACATCAACATCTAACTCCAAACATGTTTCTTTATATATCATGTTTTTCTTGCAATAAATGTGCAACACTATATCAGCAACATTAATCTTCCTTAAAACACAAGATTCATAAACAGACAAATGTTGCAGAATTCGATGATTTGCCGAAATTTGTCTTAAGAAAGCGCTTTATGTGTGAATTAATGGCAGTGTACATTATCCTACCCTGTAAACCATGAGCAAGTTATACGGTCTATAATTATAAGGAATACGTGCTATGTTCTTGTTAAGAACCTATTTTTTTTCTTATATAAATGATGGACTGGAATTGTGTGTGAACTCTGTTATATATGGTCAACCATTTATGATTTTTTTTTTATTTGATTTGATTTGCAATCTCAGAGTTACTTACGTTACTTTTTTGTACTTGGTAAGGAAATTGATTAAGCTCTAGATATTATGTATTTTGGACTTGATATAATACTTTTGACACTAGATATTATACTTTTGGCACGAGATATTTATTTTTTTGCACTAAATATTATACATTTGGCACTAAATATTGTAGTTTTGTTACTAGATATTATACTTTTAGAAGTAGATATTATATTTTTTGTCACTGAATATTATACTTTTGACACGATATACATTTCTTTTGGCACTAGCTATTATATTTTTTGGAATTAATATTATACTTACGCACTAGATATATTTCGTTTTGCATTAAATACAATATTTTTGGCACAAGGTATTATAATTTTGACATTGTATATTATAATTTTAGAACTTTAATCTTAGTTTAAAATTGAGCGCATTATGAGGAATCCAATGCCAGACTGTTAAGAATGTTAAGTTTAAAACGTTTAACTACAGATTTGATCCTGTTGTAATTGACTTAGACATCATTGGTAGGTTGATCCCCAAAAAACGTTTTAGCAATACATGTAGTGAACTAGAGGGTCTGGTTGTCAGGATCTCGTAGTGGTACTCATTAAAATCTATAATGAAAAACACGGGGGGATATTAACATGCACAATGAAGAACTCGATCCATTAAAATACACATTGGAAGAACATTGCCTATTTTAAAATACATTGAACTCTATAATAAAGAACACAAGACATTAATTTATCTTCTAATTTTTTTTAAGTAAAACTGAATATATTTTTAATTACCATTATTGGATGCATAAGTAACAATTAATATCAGAAAATTAACCACTTATTTTCAAACTACTCAACTTCGAGAGGATAACGGTAATAGGTTATCACAGGCAATAGGTAATTGGTAAAGGTAATCATAACGAGAAAGCACTAGGCCAGTATGGATACATAACACTTGGAAGGGATATGAGAGAGACTAAGAGCCACAATGTGAGACGAAAGCACTAAGCCAGTATGGCTACATAGAATAGGTTCTGAGTTAGGAATATAGAGACATAACAAGTGCTCTAATATGGCTTCTGTTTTCGCACCATCTCAGTGCGTGTCTCTGGATAATTTGAATTCCTTAAAATGTTTGTTTTAAAAAAAAATATGATTCCATACATTCTTTGATAAATTGTATTTGCATGTGTATTTTTCTTTAAAGGTTGTAGCTCCGTCGCACGTGCAACTTCAATTAATCACAGAATGTATGAAGTAAAAATCTGAATTTTTTTTTGTTTAAGGAATCCAAAGTATCCACTGACACGCACCTGCAGGACACGAGGACAGAAGCCGTAATAGAACACGTGTTTGAAAATTTATTTAATAATGACCTAACTCTAATTGGCACTGAGGCATTAAATAAAACATAGAAGAAGAATTTTGTTGTTGTAATTATATAACTATTGAAGAAGAACGACCTTTCTTCATTATAAATATATATATATATATATATATATATATATATATATATATATATATATATATATATATATATATATATATATATATATATATATATTATATTTATTTATCTCTGTTTTTGTATTTTCAGACGCAAGAAGGAGAGAAAATAATGACCAAAAAAACTTAACTTTCTTCTAAGAAGGGAATGTGATGGAAAGTAACAGATGTATTTGTCAATAGGAAAGTGACAGATGTGTTTATCTATAGGAAAGTGACTATTGAGTTTAGTGTACAGTGACAGACGTAACTAAGTCTACAGTGAATGGACAGAAGTGTTTAGTAGTGAGGAAAGTAAGAAAAGCTTTGATTGCACAGTGACATTATTGGATAAAAAGCTACTGAAGATGGTAATTTTGAGGTCCACAAAGATAACAGTGAACGTCTTCCTGTCGGTGCGGAAACAGAAACGTGTTGCCTAGTCCCGTGTCCTAGTGAGCTGACACATATGGTGGTTTGCTGAGCTGAGACGTCTGGCATCCTTGTGAGCTGAGACAACAGGCAACCTTGTGAGCTGAGACAACAAACAACCTTGTCAGCTGAGAATATTGATGAACTGAGAAGTGTTGTGGCCTCCTGAACTAAGACGTTTGACGATCTCGTAAGCTCAAGTCAGCTGAGACGTCTTGTGGTTTCGTGAGCTCCAGTGAACTGAGATGTCTGATCCTCTTGTGAGCTGAGAAACCTAGCTATCTGTGAACTGAGATATCTAGCCACCTGTTAAGGTGATACATATAGCCACCTGGTGAGCTGAGCCACCTGGCGATCAGGTGAGCGACAGCCTCTGAAGGATCCGTGAACCATTGTGAACGACCCTCTGAATGAAAATTTGGTGGGTAATGAGTGACACCGAAACGACTCTCAATGAGGACCACGTTGGCCCTAAACGACCGTCTTCTACTCACCCCACACACGACTTCCTCTGCTGCATTTCAACGACACTTCCAGCTAATTATAAACTATCCACCCCTCAAGCTTCTCGAACTTAAAATGAACTCCTCTGTATTCACAATGATAATGTAAACGACGTTCTGCTCTTTCTTTAAGAACTCTAAATGATCCTCTGGCCGCGTGAATTGACGATAAACGACCGACTGGAGACAGTACTAAGGTTCTGTATACGTAACATTGGACACACCAAGCAGTTCTAAGTGAACCATTGGACACACCAAACGATCCCAACCACCCCGCTAGACACACGAGAGAATCATTACCGACCTGTCGCGGAAGCCTCGTCCCCTCCCCGGCCTGAGGTGACTTGGTCATGTCATCTCAAGGGTTACTACAGTGTCTCCTGCTGCTCCTGGTCATTGCAGGTACGTGTTTATCTTGTCTTGGTAGAGTTGATGTCCCTCGTGATCTATCTCTTCACTTTGATCTACCTCTTCACTTTGATCTATCTCTTCACTTTGATCTACCTCTTCACTTTGATCTATCTCTTCACTTTGATCTATCTCTTCACTTTGATCTATCTCTTCACTTTGATCTATCTCTTTACCTTGATCTATCTTTTCCTCTAATTCCTTCCACTCTTCCACTTCGTCTGCATTTACTTAGAAATTAATTTTACAGGTTTTATCATTAATATCCATGTGTTACCATTAATTTTAAAATGTTACTGTTAACTTGAAAGTGTTACCATAAGCTAATATATGTTATCATTAACTTTCACTTTCAGGTGTTACCATAAGCTAATATATTACCATTAACTTTCACTTTCAGGTGTTACCATTAACTTTCAAATGTTACCATTAACCTACTGTGCCACCGTTAAATAAAATAAAACGCAGGAAAGATATGACACAAAATAATGGCAAATGTTAAAATGGCAGAAATGAATAGCGTCAATCGTTTGTAGGAATGGATTCCTGCTATTAATTATGAGAGACTTCAACCATGGCAAAATAGAGTGGGGGTAGCACATGAATGGAGAAAATGATAGACTGGCTTCGTAGTTTTGGATTGTCAGAAAACCTGTAACACAGTGCCCTATAAGGGACAAGTTGGAGAAGCAGGCAGAAGTGACAAGGAAGGTGCTCCAGTGGATAAGGGAGTACCCAAGTGAAAGAAAACTGGAAGTCAC